GAGGCCATGGACTGAATACGGACCGGAGAGCCATAGAAGAAGAAGAAGACAAGAAATGTTTGGTACTAAATTTCAAAGTATTTTTTACAATCTGTGACCATATAAAGTCCCATAAAATGTTTCACAGCTTATTACTGTCTAACATAAATCAAATAAAAGTTTAATGTGGCTGCCATGATGTTCTTTTACATCGTACAATGCAGTGATTTTAAAAAAATATATAAGATTTGAGGTTTTCATGGCAGAAAAGATATAACCGTGGTCTTCCAGGCTGACACTGTGTGAAATGTTGGTAACACCTATAATACTACACAGCATCACAACCCAGATGAAAAGCAATCCAAACTTCAACACAAAATTTTGTGGTCTCACATTAAACAGCACCGCCACTACCACCCCCAAAGTTCACACAGCTACTACGGTAGATAATTAAAAAGTACAAACATGGGATGGCCTCCTAAGACATCGATATCAAATATTCTGAAAATACATCTCCTAGGCTCGGAGTCATTGTCGGGAGGAAACGCACACATACAAGGTAAACAGAAATGACAATACCTTCAGTCGATCTTTCATTATACAGTAAGAGACACAAATTGCATTCGTCTTACCTGTACCTTCACGCAGTCCGCATCCAGTGTCTTCAGTATCCTGGAGAGCGTTGGTTCTGCTTTCACGATCACTTTTGGTATCGATGGCGCCTGAGTGGTTGACTGGTCCAGCTTCTGTATCGTAGTAGTCATTGCTTCCCTATTAGGCAGATAATTGTTTTACGACAACTGTTCTAATCCCTATCATATACGAGGGGCAGTCAAAAAGTTCCTGGAATTGTGGTACAGCACTGTCATGATACTAAACGATTCTGCCAACCACAAATCTGGATCCAAGAATTTATCAGAATGAAATCTCCGTTATTACAAAAATTCTAAACCATGATGTATAGTTTTCCACCTGTTCAACAATTAAGTCTCATACACATTTTTCTGTCTATTAAGATTTTCATACTGCCATAATGACCTCTCATTATTTTACCGTCTTACCACGTATTCATCAGCATATGTCAGGATCACCAAAATCATTCTTTAGCCCCTCAGTTTCAAATCCATGGAAAACTATTTATTTAAAGTCGTGGAATAACGTAATCCTCGACGCTAACGGCAAAACGCACCTCTTACTGGTGAAGTGGGTGACGTGACTCTCAGTGACCAGACCGTTCCTGAGCAGTTCTTTCAGCAGACACTCGATACAGTTACACGAACACTTAGCATCCATGATGTCCAGCAGTGGCGTGTACTGAAGAAGCAGTTCCAGCGCATCCACCACATCCTGTGAAAACTCCAGCTTCTCCTGTGGCTTCTCACCATTCTCGACTCCTATGACAATAAAACGGGAATAACAACTGCGATGGTAACTCATGACTACCACAGCATTAAACAATTTAAAACAAAACTTCATCTTTTGGAAATACACAGACCAATGTTAAGATCTTTCTTCACAATCACACTGTATCTGATACCTCGGATAGTGAAGTGTATCTGTCGCAGGATGTGTGGCACTTTAAGAAACGTGAAAGCACCCCATTGCGATTCAATACTCGTTCCCAGCACGTCATTTAGAGTGATGAAGCAAGCTCGCATAACCTCCGAGTACAGGCGAGGCATGTTGTAACTCTGTAAGGAACAAGACCAAGTCTTAACGTGCAATAAATCCTAACTTCCGTTAGCTAAATGTCCCAACTTGGTTACATTTAGTAAATACAATAAACAACAAGCTATGACAATTCTGGCTCTGTACATTAAATTACATGAACAAGCAAATTTTGTTTTCAAATGTACTACTAGTTACAAAACATTGTGTGCAAAGTAAGTTTCTATTTTGTGATTAGTTACAAAACGTGTGCAAAGTAAGTTTCTATTTTGTGAATAAAAAATGTGTTACGATAAACACCAAAAAAGAAAACTGCACGAGATTGCTCGTACTGATAACGAGAATAACCGTAGCAACCAAAAAGAATGAAGAAAAAGAAGCATAATGTGAACTACAAACATAAATGACAACATAAAAATAAAACACGCTTCCAGAGGAAGGAATAGATGGAAACGCCAACTCAAGTCCTGAACCGGCGATATTCACCTTCAGCCTCTGGACGAGCAGCAATTCGTTGACAAACATCTGCGTGTCAGAGCTTGGGTTAAGAAGTACTTCGATAGCCAAAAGAGCCTGTAAGCAGTACGTCACTGGTTCCGAGTTATCGGGCTTTCCATCGGCTCCACCTTCACTGTTAATATCTAGACGACACAGCTTCCTGCCAACATTTACACGTTTTAACAGACAGAGAACAAGATAATTAACACTGTTCAGAGCTAAACACACCAAAGGGTAAAATAAATTCAGTGTTGTGGAAACAGTGACATAACAACATTTTTTCAAGTGGACAACAAAAAATTTTTATTAACAAAACTAAAGAAATGTACATGTCCCACGCCATAGCCACGCGGTCAGAGACATCGTGCTTCAGACCGGCGATACAGAATGCGCGCCAGCATCGTGAGGAAATTGGGAAGCTACAATGAGTAGCGTAATCCGGTCAGGAAAGCTAGCAATGGCTGGGAGTTCGTCGTGCTGACCACAGGTCACCCTATACCTGGTTGGATGATCGTTCATCTCTGCTTAGGCATGTGATCATGAGGCCAGCAGTCAAGCTAGTCGGCTTTGGCTCTCTGGAGCTGTTACGCCACGGATTTTTAAAGAAATGTACATAATGTAAACAATTAGAAAACAAAATTACAAACAGTAAAATACGGCAAACGCCAAATTCCACCTTAAATAAGGTCATTTTACATTAGTGTTGCACCATAATTCTTATACCTCATTGAGTCTCCAACAGGAACACTTGGCTGGAATGAATTTTGATTCAACAGCGCCTCCACTTCTTGACACTTCTTGATAACTTCATGGTACACATCTGTGAAATAAACATCTACATGGACAACGACCTCATTTCAAAAAACAACAAATGTTAGTGCTAAAACTGCATATTTCTAAGCTCAACCTGTTTCCGGTAACAATATTTCCTTAATGTGTTTTATGCATTCTATGCCAAAAAAAAAAAACCCACATAAAATAAATGAGTAAAGGGAGGTCACATACCTCCATACGTTTCACCTCTGAATGAACTGAATGATTTTAAATTAAATCTGATATCGAAAGTTTACACCAAACGTTCTGATGCAAATTTATATCTGGTTTGTACAAGAACAATAAAACCCCACATTTCATGACGTTAATCAGATATTCCCACATGCGGCCACAAAACATGTCGTACCTCTGCACTCATGCTTCGCTAGATACAACATGGCAACCAAGAAGTCACACTTAAGTATCTCAGCCAAGATGACAGCCGGCTTATCCAGCATCGACGTGAGCTCGATGTTGCCATTTCGGAGCTCCTGCAGATTCTTGATGGCATGTTGCATGCAGCTTAACAACCACTGTACTATAGAAAGCACTGCTGCAGCCAGTAAACCTTCCTCTGGTTTTCCTCGGCACGTAATGCCTCCCTGCGCAGAACAAGAAAATAACCAAACTTGGGACATTTTAGAGAAACGTGCTACCTCCAATTTCAAGGCTGAGGCGAGGCGTGTTCGGAAGCGGGTGGGTTATGTAAGGCTGGAAGAAAATCAGGCCAATAAGATGAAAATCAGAAGGATACATACGGACCAACAGAAAACAGATGCTTTCAGAGCACAAGTCAGGAGAGAGAAAGATGAAAGTCGCCATTTTGTAGGGTCAACAGCAAGACATGTTTTTGGAAAGACGTTCCTTCCATTCATGTGGAAAAGGGGCTTACAGGACCTGACCTGGGAATCTGCTGACATTCTACCCTAATCTGAAAATACAAAATGAAGGCAACGTCTGACACCACCATCTCCACTTTAATCTGAGCATCGATACTTAGAAATCATCGATGGCGGTATTCGGGGGTTGTGACCCTGTGTTGACTTGTAGGTAGATACCCATGTTCCTCTGAAACAATGGTACCCACCTGTAAATCTGCACAGTGTCATAACCTGCAAGACGAAAGATGACATCGTCAATGCCATAAGAAACTCAAATCTCAATTAAAATATGTTCAACTCGTTATTTAACATAAATAAACATACCTGGATTGCTTCCAGAAATTCAAGAAGACTAATAATGCAGTGAGGTTTATGGAACCCATCATATTTACTGATTCGCTGCAGGACAGCTGCATACGAAACAAGCTGGAAAATAAACACGTAAGCCAGACGTAGAAACACGGACATACTGATATAGATTTCCAGACAGAAATGCATGAATTCTTCTATCATTGATTTTTAAAGCACTTCTCCACTTCAGCACAAACTGTATAAACAGAATTCATAATACCGAGGTAATATCCATGATATTAGTCTCCAAAACTAATAAGCAAATTTTGTTACTAAAACTGTTAAATGAATTTAAGTCTGGTTCAATATAATATATAATCTACAGAAAATCAAATGTATAAATTTTCTTGGCAATGGCTCAGATCTCATGAAGATTAACTCGTAGATAAATCCTTTTTTAATCTTATGAATACTTAAAACAACACAAGGAAAATAATTTCTCACTATGTAATGTGAACTGCTTCAACCGTTGACTATACCTTCAACATCTGTAAAATATGTGTTACTGCACTTTGGAGTAACATTTCTACTCTTGTATCATACGATTATCATATATCCAAATGAACGGAGAACATGTAATTAATCAAACGATTAACAGTATTCTACTACCTGAGAGCTAAGTGAATGTTTGAGATATGAGATGACAAGTTGGTTGGGTCCAGGGCCAACGAGGGCTTGTTGAAGGATGCAGTCCGCTAGATTGTACACATCTCCACTGACCCCCCGTGGTAAAATCTAAAATTTCAGAAAAACAATTTACATAAAGATAGATTACAACCATACTTAAATATGAAATAAACTCAAAAATTTCAAACAATAATTTTGTATTTTATTTAAACAAATAATGTTTAAACTGATTACTGAGACTTCATAAGGCTCAAGATGTAACTGTACTTGTGAAATGCAATACACATTCTGGAATTTGAGACTTCTCTCAGATTCGGTTCTGGCCCACACACCAACAATTCTGACTTTTCTTTTCTCTTTTCACCATCTGCAGGCACTCTACCTTAAAATTGGTCATGCCCTCCTCTAATTCTTTTAAGATTCATCCTGCAATTCACTGCAGTTAAAATTATCTTTTAAATTATAATTTTATCGCTGATCTGAAATACATTACTTTCTTTAAATCTACCACGTGAGAAGGTAAACATACAACACTCATTCAATAATAATACTGCAATTTCAATCAATCCCATGACAGAGTTGAGACAAAGAGGATTACACATTTTTAAACTCACAGTTTTGATGTGGATGCCCCACTGCAGGTCAGACCAACGTTCCCGCCAGGCTCGTAGTAGTAGCGCCTTCAAGCTGCTCGTCTTACTGGTCATACTGGATAATGGGCCCCTCATACTAGCTTCAGGATTGTCACATGTGTCTCATGATTTTATGCAGCCTATTATGACAGATTGGTTTACTTTCAGCAGTGCTAACTGATCCATATACTGCTTCCCAATACTGTTTCATCACACCTTATTCATTAAGCATGAAAGACACAAACAATGTAACATTATACATCATGTAAATAACAGAAAGGTCTTTTTTTAATGTAATAAAAACCGTAATAACATACGTTTCTTGTTATACTTATAGTGCACAGGGAAAATGCCAACATTTATATCTTCAACACATACAAAATCCTCCACATACCTCCTCCGAATAATTTTCTTAGCAAAGACTGCAAATATACCTATACGAAATTAAAGATGCTTACAATGTATCATAATTAGAATACTTAGGTTACGAGGCGTATCGTTTTTTCTACTACACTGTAACTAACATTACACACCACCATCTTTACGACATTAGTACCAACATCAACAAATAATGCTATAAGTTGGCAACCCGGGTGGCTTATGACGTCACTCACATTGTGCTGCCATCTATCTGCAACTGCCTCAAAGTAATATTGGCCACAGCACATTAACGATCCATAAATCTTGTAATTAATTTACTTATGATTTATTTAACAGTGTTGTCAGCTGGAAAGACCATTTTGCATCAATTGATGGTATGAAAATGAAAAAATTATTTGCGAAGGATATGAAAGGAAGCAGTTATGACATTTAAGGTATTGAACCAGAATTTTTCTGGATGGACTAAGGAAAACCACAAGAAAAATCATGGTGAACAGTCTATAAATGCCAATTTCAACAAATGACTCTTGAAACATGAAACACAACTTTAACCAACTAAGGCCAAGTTATTTTACCTTTAAGTAAATTTGTACCAAGTTTTAGTTTACAGTTATCAACACTCATCATATAGATGTTACATTTCAACATTGGAATGAATAAACTGGAATTTATTATAAGTACTATACACAGAGATATGACATTTTGTTTGAGAATCTGTTTTTGACTCAATTCAAGCTATCTGTATGAGCCACTTTTCCACAGCTTCCAGCGATGCTGGCTTCTCAGAATCCACATTCACTGCAATGGATTCAGCAAAATCTACTTTGATCGGAAGCAGATGTGCAAACTCAAAATCTTTATCTTTCTTTCCCAAGAAAGTGTTGTTGTTCATAGCTTCATTCGTGCTTTCCAACTGGCTGGACTTCGTCATACGTAGCACATTCCTGGAACAAGCAACTTTCATTATGCACTTTTGGGTAAAAAAAGTTTCAACATCACTGTTCAAAACACTACTAAGACAGAAAGCACTGGACATGATAATACCTGAAGCCTGTGTTTCCTTGTTAACATGTGTAGGACACACGACAAAGCACCAACTGCAAAGAGTTTATTTTCAGGAAATAAAATACGTTTTACTTAGATTGGTTAACTTACATTTCCTTCTGAACCAATGACTTGATAACCAAACATCCTTTTGCCATAGTTTGGTCCTGTTTGTTGCACAAAATGAGAAATGGGAGGGAGTTGTTGGCCACGACAATATCAGACAACAGGGTAAACAGGAATCTGGAATGAAAAACAAGATATATATACAAGATTTCATTTTTCCTAGATTTAAGCAACACTTCAAGTATCAACATCATCATCTACTAAAATTTCCAATATCATGAACCATCTTATAACAAAGATTCTTCCATTCTTCTCTGTCCTCTCATATGTTAATAGTAAGAATTGGAGGAGGGGGAAACGTGCATTCAAGGTTATGTTAACCATGATAATGTTATGTTTCTAGATCCATTACGACTCATTTGAAAAGACAATTATACCTCTGAACATACAATTACTTACTCAGCTACATCTTGAATGTCCTTCTGGAAGGTGACAGAGTCTATAACATAAATAATACCTCTTGTTACTCCTTTATATTCATCAAAGAACTTTGCCCGAAGTCGTTCATGTCCCGGAACATCAACAATTCTTAATAAACCCTGAAAATTATAATTATTAAATGAAGAAACAATTTAAAAAAACTCGATAAACATTTACCAAAGATACAGCTACAATGTTTATCTGCATACATGACAGTCCTAGACAAAAAGTTTGTAAAATTGTATATTCATGTACAAGCCCTGTCACAACTCAGAACTACTGAATAGACAGGTTTAGACGCAAAACTCTCTTCTGCACTATAAAACAAAAGTAATGTAGAATCTAAATTGTAATCTCTAAAATTAGCTAATGGTGTTCCTTACATTGCCAGAGTTGTATTCACCACTGTTTTCCTTGACAGACGTGTGGGTATGAACAAACTTTTTGTGCAGCAGCTGAGAATAGATCACCGTCTTTCCCGAATCACTCAGTCCCATCAGTAAGACACTCCTCCTTGCAGTCTTCTTACGATGCCATATTACAAATACTGAAATAAATTTCATGTCACCTGTATTCTGAGTTTCTCAAACTAGGAACTGTACCAGCTTACTTCAAAGTCACAGAAAACTTAAAAATCAGTTATTACAAACTGGAATATGTGCGTCCCATCGGAAATGAATTCTGTATTTTGAAATGTCATTACAACTCTCCTTCCCACTAAGAGTATCTTGAGTTCGTGCTCCATTCCTGAGCCACTAAGACTGTTAATGTGCGCTTTCTTGGTCGTTCCAAGTCTTTGGGAACGTGGAAATTATGCAACAGTGTTTCTTATTACAAATTGGTTATGTTGAAACACTGTTCCATATGTTACATGTTCGCACAAACAAAGATTCTAGAAACGAATGAAAATTAACCTACCTGTTGTAATCAGAACAATGATGATGGCAATTACAATCCCAATTATCTGGGGATCATACCAATTAATTGACTGACCAAGTCTTAATAGCGATTTGATGCTTGGTGTCTCCATGCTAATTGGTACACGTACTCAATACAAAATAAATTACGAAACGGAATGAAATCACATCTGCAAGCGAAGACAGAAATGAAATATTCTTAACATGTACGACAATTATCTAGACGTCTATTACAACTGTGGTACCAATATACTAATACTAAATAATACTACTTGCTACAATAAAAATGAAACAATGCCATTTTGTTTATTTCGTAACGTCACTTCCGAAACAGATGACATGCTGCGATACAGGTATACCAACGCCTTGAACGAATCGATTAGAAAATCCCCTTTCATTTCCCTGTAATGAAACATATCTCAGCCAATAGATCGCTCTGCTCGACAAGACTTGAGTGGCATCTACCGGGCAACAGGAATCTCTTACAAGGGAACCGTATCGAACAATCAGACCCTATCGTAAATTTATGGCCAATGTAGCAGGGTCAAAACACTCCATTGTTTCTTTGCAACACAAAACTTTATTTCCCACGGCCATCCCGGGTCCTGTTACTGCAAAACGTAACAAAAAGTATTAATTTCTTCGTAGCTTAATTGTTAGCGTTCGTGCTGCCCCCATCATCAGAGAAGAGCGTGATGGAGGCAGACAAATTAAGGAAGATAAATCTCTCGGCTCTTGCAGCAAACATCAGAAAGATAAAAAATGCATACAACATTTTGGTCGAGAAATCAGGAAATCTAAAGGAAAGAGCCTACGTGGAAGACCCAGGCATAGATGAGAGAATAATATTAAAATGAATCTTAAGGAAACGATGTGAGAAGTTTGTGACTAAACAGGGGTCAGAGGTGACCTCCTGACTTTCGTATTTTGTAACAGACGAGGAATTTCTAGACTAGCTAGGCGACTATTAGCTTCTGAATAAGAACGCTGTTCATGGAGTTAGTTACAGACTCAGATCCAACAGCTCATATTAAATTTTTTGTTTGATACATTGTTTATATAGCGACACTTTTATTAACTGCTTCAAATTTGGTCCCTAATTTGGAAAAATAATTATACACGGAGATGGACGTAAATAGTTCTATCATTCTTCCATCCACACATAGGTCTTCCAAGTTACCTCTTTCTTTCAGGTTTTCCGATGAAAACAAGTGTGTATTTCACATCTCTCCCATGCCTGCTACACGTCTATCTCATCTCCTTGGTTTCAATTAATCCTTAAGGTAGAAATTAATCGGACGACAGTGTCGATCTGTCAAACAGCTGTGCCGTGTCGTGAGTCTGACATTCACTTCGTGATCTCTGCATTACCGACACACCTGTTGTTGAACAGGTACGCTCTAAGGAGCGAGTCCCGCAGGGGACAATACTGTGTCTACTTAATGAACAAACAAAATACATTACCACAAACTGCGTTAGCGAGTACCGGCTAAACTGCTTCAACTCAAAAACACCAGGTGTTTGTTGCTGGCTGCACGTTTCACCTCGCACAACCTACCGGCGGTCCTTAAGCATCGAAAGATATTCGATATTTAATTTGGACCAGACAGGAGTTCGACTCCTAAATAGACCGCAGTGTTCGCACGATCCGTGTCCGACCCAGCCCGTGACCTTAAAACCCCATGTGCTCCTGATTTGTATGCGGGAGATGTCCGGGACGCCAACTATCCTAAGGTTTATCCTATTATCGCAGACAATCTCCTCCACAATCCTTAAAGTTCTCGTATCACTCGACATTAAATAACAGTTGATGTTGATACAGCGTAGTTAAATAGTCTATGATATACGCAACATTGTCCAAGTCCATTTCATATTAAAGTTTATGAATCCTAAATACAAAACCGTAAACTTGCTTAGAAAAAAAATAATCTCCCGTTTTCCACATTAATATAAAATATTTAATAATTCAATTTCTATCTCGAAGACAACATATGGTATAATCGTTATAAAATTTGATGTTTAAATAATGTTTAGGAAATGCTTTGTTGTTATTATTATTATTTTATTTATTTAGTGTTCTGTCTGACGACAGGTCCATATGAACAGGATCCTTCCATCCTTTTCTCGGACTGGGACCTGTTCATATACGTTCTTGGCAGATGATCCAGAAGTGGTTTACCATTGCCTTCTTCTGTGTGTGAATGGAGTAATTGTTGGGATGCCACGGAGGAAAACTCCGTGTTGCCTAGACCACGGCCTTGCCCAAATCTACGAAATCTAAATGAAATCCATAATGAAACTATTTTACCGAACGTGGAAGCAGATGGCGGACATATTTACCACTGCCACAAAAGTTCGTTCCAACCAACAGGGACTTGTAATTTTGGGTTAAATTAGTTTGTCTTCCAGATGCAAATGTGTTAAACATTCTCCATGGCTTAGAGTCTGCGGTATCCAATTAGGACTGTTATCAGTAACTCGAAAGACTTTATAATGAATTTAACACTGGTCAGCATACTGTTAATTAAAGTCACTTCCGCAGGTGGTGCAATTCTCAGAAGTACCAACAGAAAAAATCAACAAACGGATAAACAGACGTCGGTTTTCAAACCATGTTCCGTGAACCAACTGGTTTTTGCGAAGAGTATAATATTAAAACTGAAATCCCCCCCACCCCCAACCAACTTTTCACACAACAAACGAAATATTTTATCTACTTTCATGTCTTTCAAATATTCCATGTAAAGGAAATCATACCGAATTTTGTTACGGAAATCTTTTTTTTGAAAACGACGACATTTCAAAACCAAGATGTGATCTTAGCGAATAAAATGTGAGGTTGTAAAGAGAATCGAACTGGACCCATACGGCGTCTAGTTGCAGGGTCTGGTAATCTATTAACACTTTTCAACCTCAAAATAACTTCTACTATATTAACACTTTGAAGCCGAATGGTAACTATATGTACCACCTGCTTCAACAGCTAATAAATATAACATTCTGTATTTATCTTTCACAAATTGTCACCGTAGACAGCGATTATTTCCTCAAAGAATATCAACCAGCCGATGTTTATACCGGTAATAACTATGTTCTCTTTGCGGTGCGAACTGGTTTTATTTTTTACGAGCTTCGACTTCAAAGATATGAAATATATATATCTCACATTTTAGGTTGTCTGAACACATTTCTATAGAACACTCCTAAAATCCTCCACAGTTATTGTATTTAACATCTCCATCTCAAAATGAGTCCGATTAATGGCTTTAATAGCTCACACTAAGAACTGAGACGGAGAAATCGAAGGGGGCAGAATACAATATTTCTTTTAGAAGAAGGAAATAAACATCGCCGTTATAAAACCAGTCACGTGATTTAACGCACAAATGACAGCAAATGGGGGCTATTTCATATTTCAGGTATTTAGGCCTATAAAACTAAGTTCCTGATTTCAATGGCACCATCTGTTGGTAACGGAACTGCAAAGATACTATTAAACGTCGTGTTACGTGTATGAAACGTATAAATTCTACGTTACGAGTTCTGCAGTTACAGCAATAATTATGGACCATTTAATACGTCTTGTTGTATGATAATACTTTTCGTTCAAAGTTTAAAGCTGTTGAAGAAGATAAATCTACAGATTTAATGTTCACATCTCTTAAAAACCTATGAGGTGGGGGGGGGAAACATTATTTCGACAATATTTTATGATGATATTAACACAACTGTAAGTTTAGTATAAAAAGGGCATATTGTACATAGTTCGCTGTTGCTGTTTCTTGCCTTTTGTCTGAAAGTAGTTATGAAAAATTTTTGCATGATTTACAGTTTTTAAATGGAACAAAAATATTTATACCTTTCAAACCGAATAATTTAAAACATAATAATTGGCTGAGTCTTTTATTAAAAGTGAATAAAGAACCCTTCTGGCCCCGTACGGAATGAACCAATGTTACACGAAGCTATAAAGACACTTGTTGAATATTTTCATTTTATGTCGATCGGAAGTGAGCAGTTTTACGCTCACCACCACATGGGACTGCTGTAAATCGTGTTTTATGATCGTATTGAGTGTGAACGGCAAGATTGCAGTGTTTGGTAGCCGGGGACATTAAAGGCACTGAACTTCTGCCATGTCTGAAGAGAAGATATCACTTGGAAGTCTTAGGCAAACATGAGAGAATAATATTAAAATAGATCGTAAAGAAACATGTGGGGAAAGGTTCAGGGTAGGGACCAGTGGCGGGCTCTTCTGAACACGGTAATGAACCTTTTGGTTCTATAAGAGACTGAGAACTTGTCTAGCTGAGCGACTAGTAGATTATGAACAAGAGCTGTTCTCCGTGGGGTTACACGGCGAAGGCTAACAACGGAAGAACTTGGGAAATCCGCACGAAATCAGAGTGTGTAATCCGTGAAGTCTCTCTCTCTCTCTCTCTTTTTCTTTTTTTTTTCCGCTTAAAGTTACGTGATGCAGAACAAATCAGAGAATCAGCTGACAGTAGCGAAACCCGGCGTTCACACTTCACTTACCGACACCAAGTGCGGATAATTTGATTAGCTCAGCGGCTGCCATGTAGTCCGTCTCTGCGGTGAGGCTGAGAGAAATTCTCTCGGAATTGGAACGAAGGACTTCAGGCGGGTGAGACCAGGTCCTGATCAAAGTGCGTGTGTGTTTCCTGATCCTGGTATCTTGTTTCTTAAGCCATTCCATCTCTACAGTTGCTCAGTCTTCCGTTTCAGACAAGCGCTTGAAAGTAACTAACTATACATTTTAATATTATCCTCGAAACTACGCCTGTCTTCAAAGTTACCACGTCTCTTAGGGGTTTTCTACTCAAATTCTGTGCGCATTTCTTGTCTCCACCATGCCACACCTATCACATCCTCCTTCAGTTGATCACTTTAATAATATCTTGTCAAGAATGTAAATCATAAAACTTCTACTTACGCAGATTTATAGTACTTCACGGTTCATCCCTCTTGGTTCCTCCTCTCACATCCTGGATGCGTGTTGTTGTCTTAAGGTAAGAGGAAAAATTTCACTCTTATAAGATGACTCGTAAAATTATACAGATTTGTACTTTTGTATATTTTAGTATTTTATAGATAGCGGACGGGAATACAAAAGATTCGGTGCCCGAATTTATAACTTGTGTTGGGCAAGGCCGTGGTCTAGGCAACACGGAGTTTTCCTCCGTGGCATCCCAACAATTACTCCATTCACACACAGAAGAAGGCAATGGCAAACCACTTCTGGATCATCTGCCAAGAACGTATATGAACAGGTCCCAGTCCGAGAAAAGGATGGAAGGATCCTGTTC